CCGACCCCCCCTCCCTGCCCCCTCCTGTCAGGGAGTTGCAGAGAGCAATGAGGTCCCCTCTGAGCCTCCTCTGCTCCAGATGAACCCCCCCAGCTCCCTCAGGTGTTGGACAAGAACCACATCCTGGTCACACTCAAAGGCAAAGAGAGAAGTGTCAAAAGCAGCACTAACTGACCTCAAATCTTCCCGGGGCTGAGGGGAACGAGGAAGGACCACTTAACTCACGGTGCTCCCAGACACTGCCAAGGCTATAAGATGCAATTTTGTGGGTGATTTCATCTCACCTGACGCTGTGCTGTGACCCAGGGGGTGGTCCCACGGTTCCTCCACCACGTTCCTTCTGTTCCCTCGGCATCCGTATCCTTGGAGAGGGACTTTTCACACAGATTTGGATGACAGGATAAAGGGGAATGGCCTTAAACTGAAAGTGAGTAGGGTTGGATGGGATATTGGGAAGGAATTGCTGGCTGGGAGGGTGGGCAGGCCCTGGCACAGGTTGCCCAGAGAAGCTGTGGCTGCCCCTGGATCCCTGGGAGTGTCCAAGGCCAGGTTGGATGGGGCTTGGAGCACCCTGGGCTGGTGGAAGGTGTCCCTGCCCATGGCTGGGGGGTTGGAACTGGATGATCTTTAATGTCCCTTCCAACCCAAACTGTTCTGTGATTCCATGATTACAGTGTTTAAGCAAAAGTCCCAACACTTCAATTATTTGGGGCACTTTGGCTGTGGCTCCACCTGCCCCCCCCCCAATCCTTGGCTGCTTATTTCCACCTTTTAAGCCGAGATTAAAAAAATATTAAAACAGGGAGAAAAAGCAAATGGAACAAGTAACATGTCCTAATTTCTCCAAGGAGGCTGGCTGTGAACTGAAATGACTAGATTAAAGTATCACACGTTAGAATTAAAGTATTAGATAAAGGCCATACTCTACTTTTTGATCTTTGTGGGCATTCCAGAAAAAAATAAAAAAAAAAAATTTAAAAAACCCTGTCACAGATTTAGGCTGGCGGCACTGACCTGGCAATTCCGAGGGGAAAGGAACCTTCCCTCAGGAGCTCGAGGCTCCCACACTGGGCTAATTTCTTAGTGCCTTTTTTGGGGGAAATACATTTATTTTCAGAAGGGGATGAGAAAGATCCCTGGACCAAATTCCTAGGGGGGGGAAGGAGCCTTCCCTCGTCAGCTCCAGGCTCCCAAACCAAAAACGTTTTTTTGGGAAATACGTTTATTTTCTGAGAGGTATGAGAAAGACCCCTGGATGCAATTCCAAGGGGAGAGGAGCCTTCCCTCAGGAGGGAAAACGAGCCCAAGGCTCCTACACCGGGAAACCTCTAGTGCATTTTTTAATTTTTTTTTTTTTTTTTTTTAATGGGGGATATATTGATTTTCTGAGAGGGAAGATGAAGACCCCTGGATGCAATTCCGAGGGGAAAGGAGCCCGTCCTCAGCAGCCCGAGGCTCCCCCCCCGGGCTAATTTTAGTGCATTTTCAAACTCTTTTTTTTTTCTGAAGGGGATGAGAAAGACCCCTGGACACATTTTCAAAAGGAAAGCAGCTTTCCCTCAGCAAGCCCGAGGCTCCCAAACCCAACACGGTTTTTGGGGCGTTACATTTATTTTCTGAGGGGAATGAGAAAGAGCCCCTGGATGCAATTCCGAGAGGAGAGGCGTCTTCCCTCAGGAGAGAAAGGAGCTTGTCCTCAGCAGCCCGAGGCTCCCGCACCGGGCTAATTTTAGTGCATTTTTAAACTCCTTTTCTGAGGGGGAGGAGAAACCCCCGCCGGACGCAATTCCGAGAGGAAAGGCGCCTTCCCTCCGGAACTCGAGGCTCCCGCAGCGGGCTCCTCTTATCGCATTTTTTTTTTTTAACTGGTTTTGGGGGAATACGCCGGTTTTCGGAGGGGCCGAGCCGAGCCCGGCCGGTCCCTCCCCTCACGCCGGGCGGGAAGCCCCGGCGGGCTCGGCCTCGCCTCAAAGCGGCCGCCGCGGCTCCGGCGCCCCCTGCGGGCGGGGTCCCCTCACCGGCAATGGCGGCCGCTCCCCCTTCCCCGCCCCGCCGGGGCCATCCCGGCCCGCAGCGCCGCCGACACCGTCACACGCCGGAGGGCGGGCGCGGATGGATCGGGAATAGGGATGGGATAAGGGGAAGGGGGGGGGGGGGGGGGGAAAGGG